TTTAGCTCCTGTCCTGATGGTTTTAGCTCCTGTTCTGCTGTTTTTAGCTCCTGTCCTGCTTGTTTTAGCTCCTGTACTGGTGGTTCTAGCTCCCGTACTGCTGGTTTTAGCTCCTGCACTGCTGGTTTTAGTTCTTGTTCTGCTGTTTTTTGCGCCTTTTCTGGTGCTTTTAGCACCTGTTCTGCATGGTTCTGTTTACGTGTGTCAGACCTGCAGTGTAGACACTGGCAGAGGTCAAAGTTCGTTTGAAAGGTGAAACGGCTGCAGCTTTCTCCGCCTCCAGCTCTGCCACAGTCTTCTGTTGGACTGGAGCTGGGGGGAGCGTCTTAGGGAGGGGGGCCGGGAACATGTTCCTGCCTTCCTGCACACAAACAGAAAGACACAACATGACCGGTTTCTGAGCGAGACCCAAATCCAGATCCAGGGCCTGGTCCGAGTAGAATGGAGGAACAACGATGTGTCCCGTAGATTTCTCTGAAATGAATGATCTGACAGAAAATTAGATTTTGAAATGTTCCTAACAGTCTGAGATCCAGTTTTGTCCTGTCCCAGCTGGTTGTGTCCCAGTTCTGAGACTAAGGAGATGTGATGGAGGGTAAAAACCAACCTGCATGACCAGAGTCCCCCTGATGACGTGGTCTATGGTTCCGTAGTCGAAGTCCTCGGTGGGCTCGTAGTGGAAGTACTCCTTGTCTGGACTGATGCCCTTCAGGAGCTTCAGAATGTTGTTGGAGTACAGGGTGCTGGCCTGGGTGGCCATCCGGCTCGGGAGGTCCGTGTAGCCCACGTGAGTCACGCCCTGATACAAAAACACATGGCTCAAACCGTTCTACGGGGTCCGAAGCACCAGTTCCAACCAGGGAGCTCACCTTGTGAATGTGCAGCTCTCCAGGTCTGGTGGTCTCGATGTTCCCCCCGGCCTCAGCAGCCAGGTCCACCACCACAGAGCCGTCCTTCATGGACTCAACAAACTCTTTCTTAATAAGAACCGGAGCTCGTTTCCCTGCAGGGTAGCGAGAGGTAACACAGGCTCAACTGGACCTGTTTACTGGACCCAAACTATCCACAGAACCTGAGACAACATTTTACAATCTGCACATTTTAAACCGAGCTCTGAACTGAAACAAACATAAACATGAATCTTGTTTTTAGATCTGCAGCCATGAAGGAGCTCTGAACGGAGCAGTTTGGGACACGTGACTTGAAGGTCCAGCTCCGAGTACCATATGGTATGAACATGGACAGAACCAAGCTGAGAGCAGCTGCAGCGACTCACCGATGGGACCACTCTCAGCTACTACCACAGCAGGGTCTGTGAAACTGGCTGACCTGGAGCCATTCTGGTGCTTGCTCAGGTTCACTAGCTGTGACGGCCATATTGATGTACGTCCAATAATTACTTCCTGAAAGTTTCACTGACATCTGCCCACTGGTTCATGAGATGTTTCGCTAACACTGCAGACCAACAAACACAGAGAAAGACAAATGTAGACCGATACACACACACACACACACACACACTCAGATCGACACACAGACTGACATACAAACCAACACACAGATGACAAACACACACAGACGACACACACACACAGATGACAAACACACACAGACCGACACACACACAAACAGACCGACGCACATAGACCAACACATATGAAAACATGATCACCCTTCAGCCTTTGCTGGTGAGCGGTCATAAATATGAGTAAAGTTTGTGGTGAACTTGTAAAAAAAAAAAAATGAAATTAAAACAAATCATTTCACATCAGATTCATTCAAAGTCATCTGAAGGTCAAAACAATTCAACAGATGTGAGTCCAAACATCTGTCTGAGCTTCAGCTGCTGTAGATTCTGAGTCACCATGGATACAGTAAGTAAACAACAAATGAACTTCTATTTTGTAGCTGAAGACATTGCACTTCCTGTTCAGTTATGAACCTAGAGTCGCTTGCAGATCTTTGTCCCTACCCTCCCTGCTGAGGGTCATCAGTTGTCTGCCTCCTGAGAGGAGGGTCAACAGGGAGACAAAGACCCTGAAGACTCTCAGGAGGAAGGGGAGGGACCTGGTCTGCAGGTGACTAGGTCCATAACTGAGGTCATAATATGGGTCAGGTAGACCTGCAGTCTCTCCAGACTTTCTGAATTGAAAACGTTCCTCAGATCAGAAGTGAAGCGTCTTCAGTTACAGAAGAGAAGTCCAGGTGTTGTTTTTGTTTGTTTGTTTGTTTGTTTGTTTTAAACTTTTTTGGGGGTAAGGCAGAAATAGATGATGAATTATTAAATGTTTAATAAAGGTGGTCTTAGTTCTGGACCTGGGATCAGAGCTGTGCTGATGATGATGTCCACCTCTTTGCACTGCTTGGAGAAGAGGTCCATCTCTGCCTCCAGGAACTCTTTGGACATCTCTCTGGCGTAACCTCCGACCCCATCACCCGACTCTTTGATGTCCACCTCCAGAGGCTCCGCCCCAAATGACTTGAACTGCTCCAGAGCTGCAGGTCTGACAGGAAACAAGCAGTTTGCATATCATCAGAACCACCAACACAGACTGGGAGACAGGAGGACAGTTCCTCCTTCCATGTCCTACCTGGTGTCAAATCCTCTCACGATGGCCCCCATGGACTTAGCTGCTCCTGCCGCTGCTAGACCGGCCACCCCGCCTCCAATGACCAGAACCTGAGGACAGAACCAACACCAGTCTGAGGACAGAACCTAAGCCATCTTGGGGACAGAACCAACATTATTTTTAAAAAAGAACCCCTGAAGGAGACAGGCGTCTCAGGGTCCAATCGTTACCTTGGCCGGAGGAACCTTTCCTGCCGCAGTGATCTGACCCGTAAAGAACCGACCGAAGTGATTAGCAGCCAGAACCACAGCCTTGTATCTGCAAAGCAAAAAGGCAGCAGGTCAGTTCTGATCTGATCCGGTTCTGATCAGGAAAGTTCTCGTTTTAAACCTTAAATTCAATCAGAACCTTCGGGTTTTAACTCTAATTTAAATAATTTCTGAGTTTGACCCGTTTACAGCGACTGTGGAGGAAATATGGGTTAATGTGATCCACAGTAATTTCAGGTTCTGGTTCTGGTTCTGGTTGTGTTCACCCTGCAATGTTAGCCATGGAGCTGAGAGCGTCGTAGCCCTGAGCGATGGTGACTCTGGGCACCTGGTCCATGGCCAGAACCGTGCTCTGCCTCTCTGACAGCTTCTTCATCAGGTCTGGGTTCTGTGCTGGGTAGATGAAGCTCACCAAGGTGGACCGGGCCTTCATGAGGTCTACCTCGCTCAGAGTGGGAGCTCGGACCTGAAACCAAACCGGAACCACGGTTAGAACCAAAAGTTCTGTTTCAGTAATTCAAATCGAGACCATGGACGTCAAGAACCTTAAGGACTAGATCCGATCCGAGGGCCCCTCTGACGTCAGTGATCGTCGCTCCGGCGTCTCGGTACAGCTGATCCGAGAACTTGGACTCGTCTCCGGCGCCGCTCTCCACCTGGACCCCGAAGCCCTGTTTGACGAGAGCCTGGACCCCCGCAGGAGACAAGGCCACACGGCGCTCGTTCTGAAGAGTCTCCTTAGGAACGCCGACCACCAGGTCTCTGTAGGGCACACCTGAAGACACACAGAGACAGTGGCACACAAAGACACATGGGGATTTACCTGTCTAAAAAAGGTTGAACGAGTTACACACAGTTGGGTCCAGTTCTGTCAATCAAATCAATTATGAACCGTCAAATGGGAAATAGGAGGTGCTTAAACTTCCGGTAGTTTTCCAGATATTTTCACATCTTTTCTGAAATGTGGGTCCACACTCAACGTGAACAAAGTTCTGGTCTGAATTGAATCGCAGAACTTTAATGAAAAACACGTGAACCATCGAAACGAGACGGATGGTGTCACTGCCCTGTGTGTTAGTGTGCGTGGCGTCGTGTTACACATTTCTTCTTTCCAAAAATGGCAGAGTGGCCTCGCCGTCATTGTGACATTTTCAGCAGGTGATTGGCTCTGAGCCACACACACACACACACACACACACACACGCACATTTGGCTCTGAGCCACACACACGCACACACTCACTCCGTATTTAAACTTTAGAGCTCTTGGAGCGTCATGAATCGTCTAAAACGCCTCTGAGTCGTCCATCTGCAGACCAGTTGAGTAAATTCTGACCTGCAGCCGAGACCCGATGGGTCACCTTTAACTGACCTCCTGTCGGCTCGGCTCTTACCGGGTCAGAACTTTTCTCCATGTTAGGAACGTCTAAACCGACCAACCTGAGCAGGTTTCCCCTCCTCTGAGCCAAAACCAGGAGGGCCGGGGACCCTCTATGAGGGGGTCTCAGGGTTCCTACCTCTGGAGGCTGTTTGGTCCCATAGGACAGGGAAGGTCCTGAAGGTCCTGCTGAGTGGTTTCTGCTGGAGTCTCCTCTGGGACAGAGACAGACAGGAGCTGGACACGCAGCGCAGGACGGTGGACATGGTGGTCCTGAGACTCTGCTTCTTCACCGTGAACACAGAAGAGTTAACACGTTAACTGTCAGACAACATGGATCATCCTGTCCCTCAGTCCTCTGTATCTCAGTCCCTCAGTCCTCTGTCCCTCAGTCCTCTGTCTCTCAGTCCTCTGTCCCTCAGTCCTCTGTCCCTCAGTCCTCTATCCGTCCAAGGCCTGCAGGCTGCAGAGTGACACTTACAGGGTCACCGGGTGTACGACAGCTGCAGGACTGTTCGCGAGATCTGGAGCTCTGACGTCAGAGGGAGACGGGTCCAGCCAAGTCTGTCCTGCTGGGGAGATGGGGGGGATCAGGGTCAGAGGTCAAATACATATCCTTACACAATTTAAAATGATAAAAAGATAAATAGGTACCTTATAAACCCAGTCATGAGGCAAAACTTGAGGCTCAGATTTATCTGTTTAATTTAATTTCTCATTCAGGTCAATCTAAAACCGTCTTTAAAATAAAAAAAAAAAAAAACTTCTGATTGGTTCTGAGGATGAGAAAAGTTTTATTATTGATTTTATTCTCAGAGTCCCAGAAACTGCAGGTTCACCTGTTAGACGTCCTTTACCCAGAATTCTTCACGAGCCGCTGCTCCTTTTATTAATAGAAAGCCTTCCCCACCTGTGACCCAAAACGCCAGTTCACCTTCAGATAGTGACGACGTGTTATACGAGAAAATCAGGGCGTCTGTTTTATTTTAAAACAGCACAATAAAACATTTTGTTTTATGATTACTAATGCATTTTTATAGATTAAATTAATTAAAATAATCTTGGAAATTGATTGTTTTTGGTCTCGGTGTAGTTTTGATTTTTGTCCACCAGATGAGGCCAGAGGGTGAGAAAATTAATAAAATATTGGACAACTAAGACGTTTCCCTGTGCCTCACGGGCTGGAGTATTTTAACAGTTCTGTATTTCAAACATTTTTTAACTATCCATCCATTATCTTTACCCGTTTATTCCATTTTGGGTCACGGGTGTCGCCGGTGCCCATGTCCAGCCATCACTGTGCGAGGGGCGGGGTACACCCTGGACGGGTCGCAAGTCCATCACAGGGACACATAGAGACAAACGAGACAAACAACCATTCACTCACTCACACCTAGGGACAATTTAGAGTTACCAATCAGCCTAACATGCATGTTTTTGGTCTGTGGGAGGAAACCGGAGTACCCGGAGAAAACCCACGCATGCACGGAGAGAACATGCAAACTCCACCCAGAAAGGCCCCTGGACCGGGGTTTGAACCAGGGACCTGCTCGCTGAGAGGCAGCAGCTCTACCAGTTGCGCCACCGTGCTGCCTCATTTTTTAACTAATTAAAAAAAAAATTTGCTATTGTTTAAAATTTTGCCATA